TTTTGCAGCCCGGGGCTGCCACCCTAAACCCCTAAACCCCTAAACCCCTAAAGCCCGAAACCCTAAACCCCTAAACCCTGATGGGAGTTTGAGTTGGGGCTGGGGCTGTGGCTGGGGCTCTGCTGGACACGGCCTGGCTTTTGCACCCTAAACCCCAAACCCCCAAACCCTAAACCCTAAACCTATGGATAGTCTGGAACCACCCCGGATCGGCTTTCCGCTTTTCTTTGGGCTGGCGGCTGGGCTCAAATTCACGGTGCAAAAACACAGAGTTCCTGGGTAGTTCATTCTTGAGGGTCTAGGATTTAGGGTTTGGAGTTTAGGGTCCAGGGTTCTTGGTCTACTTGTAGGTTCATGGGTACTGACAGGTGGAGTTATGGGTCCCTCCATTGTTGGCGATAAGTACCAGTATAATTATCCTACTCATAAGCCTATGTCTCACTGCGCATGAACCTTAAAGTAGGCATTGGGATTCAGGGGTACCCTAAACCCTAGACCCCGAAGCCCTAAACCCGAAGGGTTTGGGGCTTCGGGGATTTTTTTGCGCCTTCCAGAGGGCTTTGGTCCCTTCGGGATAGAGATAGCCTCAGTCGGCAGTACCCAGACCTTCCAAAATCCCTTAATTAAGGAATATACCTTAAATGATAGTGGGGCCCCTAAAATGTTTTAAGGTATATCTCTTAATTAGGGGATTTTGGAAGGTTTGGGTATCATCGGTAGGGGGGGGCGTTTGGGGGTTGGTTTAGGGTTTAGGGCCTTAGGGCTTTCGGGCTTATAGCCTCAAGGGAGGCCTTTAGGGTTTAGGGTTTTGGGTTTAGGGGGTTTAGGGGTTTAGGGTTTAGAGTTTAGGGTTTAGGGATTTAGGGGTTTAGGGGTTCAGGGCTTAGGGGTTTAGGCTTTAGGGTTTGGGGTTTAGGGTGTAGGGCTTTAGGGCTTCAGGGCTTCAGGGCTTCAGGGTTTTAGGGTTTAGGGCTGTCGGGCTTAGGGCTTTAGGGCCTGGGTGGGCCTGAGCTAAGAACTTGGAGTTTCAGGGATAGTTGTAATTGGGGTTCCAAGCCCCCGAATACAAGCCATACTTAAAGCTATCCTACTGATAAACCCCAAATAAAAACCACCCATGAACCTGCAAGTAGGGCTCCTTTAAGCGTTCCAGTTGAAGGGCCCTTCAAGGGCGACTGTAAAGGGGCCGGTGTGAGGTGTCTTGGCGGCTTATTCGGTCCAGGCTTACATATTGTGAGGCTTTACCAGATTATGCAGGGTTCGGGGTTTAGGGTTTAGGCTTTACTTTACTTTAGGCTACTGGGGAGGGTCAAGGGGGCATTCGGGTTGTTTGTGGCGCCTATAGGAAGTTCTGAAACGTTTGGAAATACGGCTCGTAGGAGTTTATACACTTTGCGGAGGGATGGGGCTTCCGGGCATCGTGCAGATTGTGTTCCACGATGTTGAAGGGATCTTGGAAAGCTCCCTCGCTCTTTCAGGGACTTGCAGCGAGTGGGTCATACAAACCCGACAAACTAGCCCAAAGTAGGTACTAAGCCCTACACCCTAAACCCTCAACTAGTTTATACACTTTAGAATCCCCCCAATTAGGTGTATATTTGTGTGCTTGAAGTTTGAGGACAAGGATTCGGGTTTGAAGGTTTAGGGTTGTAGAATTTAAGGTTTAGTGTTGGGTCGCGCCTTCCTTCTGTGGTTTTGGAGCTGTCGGCGATCTTGTCTTGCAGGGTTACAGTAGTATACTCTTAGAAAATCGGTGGCTCTTTGCGCATGATGGAAGGGTTTCGTAATTAAACACTAAACGCTGCATGTAAAAACGCCACGGAGCCAAAATTGGGGTACAGCGCATTGCGGTCCCCAAGCGAGGCTTCTTTGCTGAGATCGGTGTTCCTTGGCTTCGATTCTTGGTTTGTTGCGTCGACGGTTTGGGCAACGCTTGCCAAACGAAAGTATGTATACAAGGGCGCTGGCAAAACTACGTACGGATGTAGGAACTTGATCCGGGAAGCGCGGGCTCTTGCTAAGGCGAAAAACTTCTTAATCTGGACGCTGTTATTCTGAGCCCTATGCCTCCAGGGACCTTATTCTGGGGTCCTTAAGAGGTTTAGGGCCCCAACTATGAGGTCCTTGGAGGGATAGGGTGAGGAGTTTCAGGAGACGAAGTACAACCCTAAACCCTGACCGGCAGCCCAGCCCTTGAGGAGGGTCGGCACATGCCAAGACATCCCAAAGGGTTGCCAGATCAATATCCTACCTGGAGGTTCATGGGTAGTTATAAGTAGGGGTATAAGTCCCCTATTATGGGTTATAAGTATAGTTATCCTACTTATAACCTGCTTATAACCACTCATGAACCTCCAAGTACCTGCAGTCTCCATTGTGGTTTCTTTTGTGGTTTAACCAAACTGAATAGATCTTGCATCCTACAATGTACACCTCCACAAGGAAACCACTATAGACACGATGGGCAGATCTATCCACAGACTGTCAGAGGACCTCAGATGCAAAATCAACTGTAAACTCTAGACATGGACTCGTCTTCAACCCTATCGCATCATCACCTTTTGAAACTCGGACATCCAAACCCTGAACACCTAAATCTAAACCCAATGCCTGAAACCCTAAACCCTAAAACCCCAAAAAGAAAACCCTACTCCCTAAAGCTTAAACCCTAAACCCTCCTGACATAAGACCAAAATCCGTAAGTAAATCCCTGGTGACCCTTTCCTAAGGGTCCATATACCCAAATAGCAAAAACTTTGGCCCCCGAAATACCTACATATATAGGGACTACTTTAAGGCCAAAGTATCTACTACTTGAGTACATGGACCCATAGGGTGTGGGATGAGTGGCTCCGAAACCCCAAAACCCTAAACCCTAAACTCCCAAACCCTAAATCCTAAACCGGATGAGTGGCAGGGCGTTCAAGGTGACAAGAAGGACTCGAAAGTCTGCCTTCCGAGCTTTTCGAGTTTAGGGTTCAGGGGTCTTAGGGGTCTTAGGGGTTTTAGGGGGTTTACGGCGTTCTAGGGGCTTTAGGGGCTTTATGGGTTTGGGTTTAGGGCTCTATCCCGGGTTCCTTTCAGGGTTTGCTTAGAAGGGGCTCCAACACGCTTTCAAAAAGGTAAAGAGTACTTGGAGGCCCTTTTGACTTAGTAAGTAGGGTTAGTAAGGTGGGTTATGGGGATTATAATGGGGTTTCTAGGGGATACTAAGTAGACTTACTAAGTCAACAGGGCCTCCAAGTAGTGGATATTGTTCCTTGAGGGGCTACTATTTTGGGATTTAGGGTCTCGGGCTAGGCGTTCGTGAATAAGGGTTCCTGTAAAGGTTACTCACTATGTTGGTTGTTCGTAAGGATTCCGTTCTTTTAAGGACTCGAGAAGAACTTCTACAAGTGGTTTTGGGGTATTTTACCACTTTTTAGGGGCTTTGGGTTTGCGTGTGAGGTTTCCGAGTGATCGACTTCGGGAGCGTAGTCCTTTAGGGAGATCGCTTACCAGTTCAAGTGTTGATAGAATACTTTCTAACAAGTTTTTTGCTTATTACCCTTAGAGTCCATGTACTCATATAGCATATACTTGGACCCCAAAGTACTTCAATAGGGACTGGCCACTGTATATACTATATGAGTACATGGACCCTTAGGGTTACGGTTTCCCTAAGCCCTAAATCCCCATTCAAAACGTTTTTCTGTTTGCAATATTTCCAGCAGCCAGCACGGCCTCCATCTTGAGGACGTTGCCCATTACCTTGCTTGAAGTGCGCAGTGATCATAAGGCTGTTCAGCAGTACTAGCAGTGAAGTTGGAGTGAACGTAACGTAAAAATCTATCTGCCTTAAGCATAGCGTTACTTACCAAGTCCATCGATGCTTGAAGTTGAGATTAGAGACAAGGGTTCAGACGCTAGACACTTCCGCGGCAAGAACTCTTGCGATTTGGATTTGGATGAGCCTCAAACCCTCAACTCTAAAACATCCTAATAAGCGGCTGGGCTCTTACACATGCCGGGCTTTCTCGCGATGGTTGACGTGGAGTCTTTTAACCCGCGCAGAAAGGGAACGACCCCAAACCAAAGTTCACGAGTATTCCTTCTGAGGGCACCTTGCCTAAACCCTCCCCACACGTTCTATCAGTCCCTAAATACCTATACCAGGAACCAAAAATTCCTATTTGAGGTAGAAGGAAGCCCGGTTGGGTAGGAGCCGTAAACCATGAACCTTCAATGCCAAATCTTACATCCTAGGATATAAGCCCTGAAACCAAAACACATTAAACCCCACATGGGAGTTTCCGAAAATAAGGGGCACCTTACTTTGGGGTCCTTGTAACAAGGATCCTACTATTTGGGGTGCTACATTAGGGTCGGGTCCCCTATTTTCGGAAACCCCCATATTGCTACCGCTAGGAAGGAGATCGCCAGCAATTTCCTGCAACAGATGAGGCTTGTATCTTGAGGGCGAAAACCACAGGGCCCAGATTTAAGTTTGGTGAATCTACGGGTTAGGGGCTTAGCTTAAGTGGGGTTTAAGGGTTTGGGGGTTTTAGGGGTTTAGGGTTTAGAGTGACATGTTCAACTCTAGACCTTTGCAATTTACCATGTTCCCAACTCAGAGCGAGGTGCCTGACAACCTTGAAAATCCCAACACCCAAAACCCCAACTTCAAGATCCAAGACCCGACACCCTAAACCCAAAGCCCTAAACACCCTAAACCTTACACCTCTCAGACAGCCTAAGCCCTAAACCCTAACCTGACCACCCCAAAGCCAAGCTCTAAACCTCAAGCCCTACCCGAATCCCGCAAGGGCCCTTGAATAGAGCCCTGAAGGTCCTGAATAGTGGGTGTACAGGGTCTCACCCAGGGAAATTTTTTATCTTTGAGGAGCCAGGCGCTCCCAACCATAAGCCCAGATTTCTAGAGTGCTCCCAAACTCCAGCGCCATCATAGCACTTTCACATCAGAAACTTCAGTTTTCACCAGTATCAACCGGGTGCCAACCCTAAAAGTCCATGAACCGCGCCACTTCTGCAGTGGTCCCGCCCTGGCTCTCCACGAAGCTGTAGAAGTCCTCCAGCCATGCCTCGTTCTGAACGGGAAAAGGGGGGTCTACACCCTATCATAACGTACTATTGTAACGGGTCTAGGGTGCAGTTTAGGGTTTGGGGTTCAGGTGCGAAGATGGAGTTACTTCATGGAGTGAAGTTGCTACAGCATGCATCGTGCCAAAGCTTTATATGGAGTACTACAGTCCGTACTTGTCGGTCCTTCTGAAACCCTTCGACTTGCCTGGAACCTTGTAAAACCCATAACGACCCGGTAGATTTTCAGGAGTTCTCCGAAAACAACACCAGAGCAGCTTATATTCACAAAACCATAGGGACCCTTTCCTTATGATAACTATTAAGGCCCCTTACCCCCTACCCCCCCCAGCCTCCTTATGACAGGGGACGATTCCTCTAATACTTCCTTAAGTCCTCATTATAGGTATTAAGGCCCCCTACCCCCCTCCCCCCAAAGTCCTTATGACAAGAGAAGCTACACAGCCCTGGACGACCCAAGGCTGAGTTTTCTACCATGGGTTCACATCCATTACCCTTAGGGTCCATGTACTCATTTAGCATATACTTGGACCCCAACGTACTTAAATAGGGACTACATAAAGGCCACTGTATATACTATATGAGTCCATGGACCCTTAGGGTTAGCTATGTCCAACTGCTCGACCGAGGTCTTTTTAAACCCTAAACACTACTGTTCTCTGAAGCCGGCAACCGTGCCTTCTTGAGACTTTGCTTCATGATCTCCAGGTCCTGGTAAGGGTGTAGGGTGTGTGGTGCATAGGTTTTAGGGATTATGGGGTTCACGGGTTCAGGATTTACGGGTTTAGGCTTGTAGGGTTTCGGGATCATGGGGTCTAGGATTTATAGGGCTTGGGGAGCTATTGATGTGTGCGAGCTTGTCGTGCGGGAGTACAGGTGAGGCTACACTACGCTTAAAACGACGACGAGCAAAATCAGCATTTCTCATAAGGAGGGCCCGCAGAGTTACGTGAAATCAAGATCCGGGGCTCTCCCCGCGATGCCTTCCTGCAAGGTAGTCTCCCAAGCAGCCTAAACCCTAAACCCTCAACCCTAGGTACCCTAGGTACCCTATCACAGCTGCTGGCTTCAGATCCTCAGCCCCGACTTCAACTTCACCCAGCCTTGGACCTGAAATGCTTGAAGCCGCAACTCCAGAGCTCCGGAACCCTAGCAGGGCTTTTTAATTTAGGGTTTACTTGGAGGTTCATGGGTAGTTATAAGGGTTCCTTTAAGGGTCCCTTTAAAGGGCTCTATAGGGATTCTATAAGGGTATAGGGGTTTAGGGTTTACTTGGAGGTTCATGGGTAGTTATAAGTAGTGTTATAAGTCCCTCAATATGGGTTATATGTATAGCTATCCTACTTATAACCCTGCTTATAACTACCCATGAACCTCCAAGTAGGGTTTAGAGAGCCATGCGAAAATATTCCTGTAGAGTTCCAAAACCTCTATGGAAAGCAGCCCGTCGCATGTTTCCTAAACCAACCCCGATAAGCCCTAAACCCCGAAGCGCCTAGCCATCAACACTGGCACCGATAAAACCTACACCCCCAAGCCAAAACCCTATAAACTAAACCCCTAAACCCTAAACCCCCTTAACCCTGACCCCCTAGTCCTAGACCCCAAAGCCTAGGGCCCTAGCCCTAAACCCTAAACTCTTCAGCCCTAAGCCTGAACACCCAACCCTACAGCCCTACCCCCCAAACCCTAATTCTAAACCCTAAAACCCTACAGCCCTAACCCTAAACCCTAAACCTAAACCCCTAATTCTAAACCCTAAACCCACAGCCCTAACCCTAAACCCTAAACCCCTAATTCTAAACCCTAAACCCTACAGCCCTAACCCTAAACCCTAAACCTAAACCCCTATTTTAAACCCTAAACCCTACAGCCCCTAAACCCTCCACCCCCAAACCCCCAACCCTAAGTGCGGTCCTGCTTGGTCAGAATGCCGCCGACCTGGGAGGTCTCGATGCCTGCAGGTGCCATTTCATCCTGCCGAGCAGTCTTCAGGGCTCCTACGATGATCGGTTTAGGGTTCAGGGTTTAGGGCTCCTACGATGATCGGTTTAGGGTTTAGGGTTTAGGGCTCCTACAATGATCGGTTTGGGGTTTAGGGCTCCTACAATGACTCCTGTGACCCCTGCCCCGCCGACCTTGAGAGGCATGATCATAGGGAGGGCTTAGGGGTTTAGGGGTTCGATTCCTGTACCCTAAGACTCCAAGTATACAACTAGGACCGACTTTGGGGTCTAAAGTCTATATATGCTACCTACTTCGGGCTATTTGGAGTCTTAGGGGTAAGGGATGTAAGGGATCTATGAGGGATCTATCAGGGTTTGGGGTTTGGGGCTTAGGGTTTGGGGGTTTAGGGTGCGCCGCTCCCAAGCAGGCTCCTGTAAGGGATCTATCAGGGTTCTATACTTAAAGGATCATGGGACTTAGTATGTATGTTTATAAGTATCTTAATTGGGGTTATAAGTAGTTATAAGTGTAGTTACCCTAGTAATATCCCCAACTACTAAGTCCCATGATCCTCCAAGTAAGGGTGCAGGGTTCAGTGTTCAAGGTTTATGAAGCTTAGGACTTCTAGGGTGTGTAGGTCTCATAGAGAGGGCTCATGGGGCCCAGGGTATATGGTGTACGGCTTATGGGGTTTCGGGTGTAGTTTTAAGGTGTGTTTTTCGTTCGGGCCTTTGAAAAAGGTCTAGAGGGGCCTTGCGCAGGGTTCGATGTAGGATTCTGCATGGGTTGACTAGGGCTAGACATAGATTCTGTAGGGCTTCAGTTTGTAACAGTTGTCAATGGTATTTCAGAACTTACAAAGGTTGCTTTTATAGGCTAGGAGGTTTGTAAACTTGGCGAGTCGGGTTTGGGGTGTTCCGGCTTGTAGTTTAACAGTTAAGACTAAGATGCACAACAAGAGGCTGCGGTGGTGTGTGTAGTGTGCGAGATATAGTAGGAAGGTGTTACTTGTGCTGTTCGAGTCGTCTGCAGGTCTGTGCGAAACGAAGATTCCAATCGTAAGTTGCGTGCACCTCGCGTCTTCCTATGTAGGCCTTGTGGTTAGGGCTTTGAGTTTCAGAGCTGTGAGGTAATCGAAAACTACAGGCTAAGGGGGAAATTGAAATGGGATGGGACCATAGGGTGACCAAGAAACCTAGGAAGAAAGCAACCCATGTGTCAGCTTCTCCACGCAGCAGTGTGGGCTCTATTTTAAGCGTTGCCATGGCCCTGCCTTGTCGTGGTCTGCCTGCCGGGCTTTGGATTCAGGATTTAAGGCTTAAGGTTCAGTACTTGGAGGGTCGGGGGACTTAGTAACTGGTTATTTTAGGGACTTATAAGTACCATAACCCCAATTAGGGTCCCTTTTGGGGTACTCATAAGTCTACTTGCTACCTACTTACTAAGTCCCCCGACCCTCCAAGTAGGGTTTAGGGTTCCGGGGGCGGGCGCTTGGGTCGCTGGCAGATTGTACCCAGATTTGCGTACGTTATATCGAAACAACTCGAAGCCCTGGAAGCCTGAAACAGACAACTCGAAACTACAACTGCCAAAAGAAATGAAGGAGCCCTTGTGATTGGAGTAAGGCCTTGGGGTATACTCTACTCTAAGTGTTATTATATGCAACCGTGAGGAAAAGTATAACTAATCATGTCCCCTATACTACCAAGCATGCAGCTTGTGGTCTCGGTCGGGTTGAGACACGGCATTTTGTGCTCTGGCCTCAAGCACCCCCAGTAGGCCCAACTTTTTGGAATACACCCTAAACCTTTTCAACTCTAAACCCCTGAACCCCTTGCGGCTCTAGAGGGACCTTCCCCCTTCTAAGTCTTAAGATTCATGCGTTTTCCGGGTCTCGGGCTTTAGGGTTTTAGGGTTTAGCATTTGAGGTGTTGGGGTTAAGGGTTTGGGCGGGTCCAAGTACCCAATTACCATATACTCTCAAAATAATGGAAACCTACATAGCTACTATGCCAAACCCGAGTACATGATTCTTGGGTGCTCTGGACCCTTAGGGCTAGACCTGAAAACAACCGCAACTCCAAGCTTCAGCCCGAACGTCCCTCGCACACACAGACACAACGGTGTGAGCTTATCAAGATGTAAGCAGATATGTATACAACTAAAAGTGCAAACAAATTTGTGTGTGAATACAGATATACATGTATAACCCTAAGGGTCCAAAGGACCCCATAATTGGGTACTCGGGTTTGGGATAGTAGTTCTGTAGGTTACTACTTTTTGAGAGTATATGATAATTGGGTACTTGGACCCTTAGGGTAAGTACATGTGTGTATATATATATATACGTATACGTATACTTAGATAATATCTGTTTGTTTGTTTGTTTATAAGTGTACACATACATGCAGAACCCAGCTCTGATGAGCAACCTCTTTATCCTCCTTTCCATTGTCAGAAATTGAGGTTTTCGGCTTCTGATTTGGGTTTCACCGGAAGGAGCCTTCTCCAGCTTTTGGGACCTAATTCCCTAGTGGTACCCCAAGGGTCCATGTACCCAAATCCTATATTATACTTCGGCCTTACAGTAGTCCCTATATAGGTACTTTGGGGCCAAAGTACATGCTAGTTGGGTACATGGACCCGTCGGGGTAGTACATATGAACCCTCTGGGTTGGAGCCTCCTTCCCTAGACCCCAAACCCCAAGCCCTAAACCGTAAACCCTGAACCCCAAACCCTATAAGCCCTGAATCCTAAACCCTGAATCCTAAATCCTGAATCCTAAACCCTGAATCCTAAGCCCTGAACCCTTAAACCCCAAGCCCACGGAGCCTCCTTCAGGTACTCCTCAAAGTACGGGCCGATGGGCGTATCCACCAGGAAGATGCGATAGACGTCGTCGAAGCCGCCTGGCAGAGTTCACGTACAGTCTCCCTTGTACTTCCTTTTGTGGCTTACATTATACAACCCTAAATACAAAATTGGGACAGCCAACAAAGGAACCACAATGACTGCAGGTAGTGTTTAAAAGGTCGAGAAAATACAGTTTAAGCGATCAAGCAAATACCTAAAGCCAAAACCGAAAACGACACAATCGTAACATGGACCGTTAGGAATGTGTAGGTTTCTTCGGGTCTGTAGGATTGCACCACAGTTTCGGGTTGAGGGTCTAGGGTTGGGTTTAGCGTTTGGGGTGGGGAGAAATGAGTCGAACCAAACGAACCAAAGCTTGTTATACAGGGATAGGAGCCTGATGAATCAGAACAGGGTCTTGAGTCGAGGTATTCTATACTCTGAGTATCGTAGACACTGGCAAGTAGTTAGAGTAGGTTCCATGTCCAGGGAGGAAAACTTCACAGTTTCTGGTTCTAGGGCCAATGCGTCGTCAGCAAGCAGCACTCAAGTCGCGAAAACACAAATCCGACCACGCACCCAAACTCTAAACCCCAGGCCCCTAAGGTAGAAGCCAGAAAGTTGGAATATGGTTTCAGGGTAGGATACCCTATAATTTACCATAAAGGGTTTAGGATAATCATATTCCAACTTTCTGGCTTTTACTTTAAACCCAAAACCGTACACCTCCCAAGAAAGGAAGCCTGATCTCTCAAGACACACATGCTCCAAAGTGTCTCGATCGCGAGGCCCTAAAACTCGAATCTTTCCCCCCCGAGTTGGAGGTTCGTGGGTAGCTAGTAAGGGTTGAAAAGCCCCGGATGTAGGCCATAACTATAGTTATCCTGCTTTTACACCGTGCTTATACCTATACGCATACACCTCCGTAGCCCTGAACCACAAAATCCAAACCCGAAACATCCCGAAACCTTAAACCCAAACCCACGACCCCAACTGATCATCCTGGTCCCGAGGCTCTCTAAGACCCCTGACCCTATACCTGGGCCCCCTAAGTACCCTTAAGGTTTAGGGTTTTAAGGTTTAGGGTTTGTTGAGGGTTTTAAGGGCCGTAAGGACTCTATTGAACGGCCCTGGGGGGACCTGGTACGTCTTAAGCGCTAGCATGTTGGCACCTTGATGATCAACATCGGGTTTGGGGGCTGTAGTCATGATGCATTCATGTCAATGAACCCTTAGGAATATTACTATCGTACTTGCTCATGCTGAGTTGCCTTGCACATCGAAGCTCTCCGACATGATCACCTCTTCATAGAGTTCAGGGTGTAGGGTTAAAGGCTTATAGAGTTCATAGCTTGATTAGGGTTTAGGCTTTAAGGCGCATCGGCTTCATAGCTTCATTTGGGAGTTTCCGAGAATAGGGAACCCTGGTATAGTACCCTAAAAAGTAGGATCCCTATTATAAGGACTCCAAAATGAGGTACCCCTCATTTTCGGAAACTCCCGTTTAGGTTTAGGGTTTAGTGTTAACTTCATCATGTCAGTGGAAGGCCTGCAGGCGCCGGGCCTGGGTTTGTATTGCTGTCAGCACGCAGTACTAGTAGTAAGCTATGCAGAGGTTCATGGGTAGTTAAAAGTGGGGTTATGAGTTCTCTAGCTTTTAAAGGTTATAGCTTAGAAGCTGCCCCCACCCTGTAATAGTGACTATAAGGCTACTATAAGGATTATATTAGGGCCCTGCTATATTCCTATTATACCACTATTACAGGGTGGGGGCAGCTTCTAAGTTATAGCTATAGTTCCTGCAAGCAGGGACTGTCGTCTTCAGTGTCAGTGGCAGTATCAGAAGGACAGACGAGGTCAGCAACGACATCCATGGTCAGCATCAGCCGTACTGCTACTGGGAAGATTGCGAGTACCACTGCCGACACCACCACGACCACTGCGACTAGCACAGCTACTCGCGCTACCCCCACTACCAGTACCACCACCACTGTCACTAGCAGCTCAACAACTATCCCTCGCCTCTCTCCCGAGCGGCTACAAGAACGACGACGGACGGCTTCGCTGCAGAACCTTCCAAGTGAGAATGGCTAGTTGAACGGAGCTCAAAACGAGACCCGCATTCCTAAATTTCACTTCAACCTAAATTCCACTCAAAATACACGAAACCCTAATAAACCTTAAACCCGAACGAATCCCTAAGCCAACTCTTCACTAACCGAACCCAAAGCCCCCCCTATTCATAGAGCACTTGCCTTCATGCCCTCGAAGACTCCAAGAGGATGAACCTTCTCTTCGAGTTCCTTTGGTGCCTGGAGAAATTCGGGCATCCGAAGCGGAGGAAGGCATCTTGCTGTGATGACGATGACGGGGAAGAGGAGGGCGAGGATGATGATGATGATGATGATGATGATGAAGAAGCGGAGGCGGAGGAGGACGTCGAGGATCAGGGTGAGGGTGATGCGGTGGAGGAGAGGGATGAAATGCCGCTGCAGCTGCTGCTGACGATGATGTTCGTGTTTTATTGCTGCCGTTGTGGTCTTTGTGGCTGTGGCGGTGCGGAATTATGGTTGTAATAGTTTCTGCGGCGACGTCTTGGGAACGGGGTTGTTAACGGATCTGTGTGTTTAGTCGCGCTACCCGGGCCTTTCACCTTGCTGGCCTGGCCAATTGTTGGAGACCACAAGTCCACATGGGAGTTTCTGAAAATTAGGAATTAGGGGTACCTTATTTTGGGGTCTTCAAAATAAGCATCCTACTACTTAGGGTACTATCTTGGGGTCCCCTATTTATGGAAACCGTCTAAATCCGGAGCCGGATCAAACTGCTCGCAGATCAACGTACAAAGCGCTCACTGCAGCCAAGGTGTCTACATGCAGTCTTCTGCATGCAGAACTTCGTTGCTGCGTGCATAAGCCCCAAAACGTGTACACTTTTAGTTTTATGGTGGGTAATATTTATCCCAAAAAGTGTCAAATGTATCCACTCAGCTACTAGCAGAAAAAGCGCTTGAAGACAAGTCCTCCTTAGTCTTGTGAGATCCATCATAACACCTAGGTAAGCCAGGAATGAACTCACAAAGCCCTCGTCTATGCAACGTATGAAGGACACCCATCGATGTGGCCACTGGAGCCTTGTTGTTGAGGGCGCCCTGGATGATCATGCAAACGTTGTCAATCCTTGCAGCAGTGGCGCCCAAGAACCCAAACCGTGCTACAAACCCAAGTTAATCTCAGTCTCAGTCCTGATCCAAACTGGTACCACTCATGCCTGCAGTCTCCGTCTCCTTTCTAGTTCCTCTTCGTGGCTTATCCAGGGTTCTATCTACGATGCCCATGGAAAACCATAGAAGCAACTACAATAAGCACTGGTGGTAGTCAGTAGAGGAACCTGGAAGTTGGAAGCAGTGCAAACCCTAAATCCTGATACCCGCATCCTACCGAGAGGCTCATACCCTACCCCTTTTTTTGGATCCATAGCTTAATGGCGAGGATCTGTTATCTAAAAAAGGTAGGCGCCCCAAATATGGGCTAGGGTATGAGCCTCTAGGTAAACTCTTAACCCCTAAATCCCTAGCCTGCAGCTCTGAACCCCTGAAACCTTAACGGTGAATCGTACCTGCAAAGACTGAGGCTGAACCTCACCCTAAACACGAAACCGAAACATCTCTCTCGGTCTCTCTGTCTCTCTTTCTCTCTCTCTCTTTCTGTGTCGGTCTGTGTCTCTCTCTCTCTCTCTCTCTCTCTCTCTCTCTCTCTCTCTCACTCTGTATACATATATGTACAATGTATGTGTATGTATATATGTGCATATATATATATATATATATGCATTTATACAGATCTAAAAGGAGGGCGGGAGGTACAGAACTGTCCATCAGCAAGTTACCAAAGGTTGATGGCCTTGGCCCGTAACTACTGCCCACAGCCCGAGACCAGGATTGTGTTTGCGGGGTCGCCTTCTGTGACTTTCCAAAGGCAGGGGCTAGCACGGCTCTCTTATTGCGTGGTTAAACCATAACTCGGCAGGGTTGATTCCCACAACTTTTGCAACTTGACCGAACTCTGAAACACATAGCCGCCAACTACCCAAACCCTAACTCCATCGATCTATCCGCGTCAATGGATATGTACGTCTGTATGTAGGTATGTATGCATGGCAATATGTGTGTGTATATATATATATGTTTATATATATGTATATATATATATATATATATATATATGTATAATTACACATATACACTTACATAAAAACAACTATAAACAAAGAAGAAAAGAGAGAAACACATCAACACACAGACACACACACAAACATACATGCATAAACCACTAAACACATACAAAAAACAGGAAACTGAACACACACACACACAATAGCTCAAGAAACAAACAAGCATATCATCTGTGTATGTATATACACACATGTCGTGGTCTATGTATGTATGTATGTACATATATATATATATATATATATATATATGTATGTATGTACAAAAAGATATACTACGCATACATATACACAGATACAGATTTTGGTATGCACATGTATATCATGTACCCGATTTCTTGACTCCGAAATCTTTACATGTTGGACCTCGAGCCCTACTTGGAGGGGCAGGGGACTTAGTAAGTGGGTTATAAGTAGAGTTATAAGTACCCTAAATGGAGTTACCCCAACTCTAACCCTACTTGTAAACGACTTACTAAGCCTCTTTGCCCCTCCAAGTAGATCCAAAATCCTAGACCCGCCCTTTGACCGAAGCTACGAGATCTCCGTGCAACCTGATTAAGGGTTAGTGGTTCAGGGTTTAGGGTTTTAGGGTTAGGATTTAAGGATCCTGCATACAACAAATCAACGACATGCTGCCGCTCCCGGGGGTTTTGGGTTTGGGACATGAGATATCAATAAGAATGAAGCCCCATCCTACACCCCAAACCATGCAGTCTTGACAATCTTCAGCCGAAGATGCATCTTTTCCCTGGCGATGAAGTCCATGAACGTCGACAAAGGCTCCACCGTTTGCGCTTTCAGGTAGCGAAACCTCCGCTCTTCAGGTTTTGAGCTTGAACCCTAAACGCCTGCAATATAGGGGCCTTAATAATTAGAATAGGATTTTGGGGTATATTATAAGTAGAACAAGGAACCCCCAAAATTATTGAGGACCCCATAATGAAATCCAAAAGCTCGAACACCCGGACCTGGACGCTGCACACTTTTCACCCAAAATCTTGGGTTTGCTGGCTTTAGGGCCTCAGCCACAAACCTGTGAGCCCAATAAGCTTTCCGAGTTATCTGGGGTTAGCAGTTAGTTAATATAGGGGCCGTAATAATTATCTACACTGAATCTACACTATTTGGGGGTTCCTCAAAATATTTACAGTGTAATGGGCCCCAAAACCCTATTGCAATTATTAAGCCTCTATATTGGGATTCGGCTTTACGGTACAGGGGTTAGGCTTCAGGGTGCGGGCTTTGCGGCTTTGGAGTATTGAAAGACTGTCTCGGGCAATACATCCGAGCCCGTTCTCTGCCGGATGGAATATACCTTTTCAGGACGCATGAGAGAGACGACAAGAGAAATGCCGCCGTGCCGCGGGCGGCTTTAGGAAAGGCACACACATACGACATATAGCCCAAGCTCTCGAAGCCCTGAGTCTATCTAAGCAAATCCTTAACTATGCTCCAAATGCGGCACCCTGAACCTCGACGCATCTCCGTCTTAAGCAGAAGCCTGGTTAAGCGGTTAGGGTTTAGGGTCTAGTTGTTTTCTGCCAAACCGCCACCCCAGCACTAACCACATGAGCCTCGGGACATCGGGACATGGGAATTAAGCCGCTGTAAAGCCATAACCTTCAACAGCCCGCAGCCCTGCGACCGTCACCTAAACCCCTAAACTGCTAAACCCTAAACCACTGAACTCCTAAACTAAATCCCTAACCCTTATAAGTCCTAAACCCTACACCCCTAAACTCCTACACTAACTCTTGAAGATGGAGATTGACTTTACCGACTCTGGTCTGCTCTGGCCATGCATTATTACTAGTACTATGATCATAAATGTACTCATTACTTCTGTACTATGATTATGACGATGGTTTGCATTATTATTACTATTGTTAGTTGCTAGAACTCGCTTTATTTCGGGATTTTCGGGTTCACTTCATTCAACAATACGACGTCCCCAGTGCATCGCGCTACTCGTCGGCAAGCTTGTCGTAACATCGCCTTGGGGTCTCTGGGTTTAGGGCTTGGGGCTTAGGGTTTTAGGGTTTTGGGGTTTAGGACTTTCACGTGTAAGGATGGGGTCTGAAGTAGGACACCTACTGTTCCTATTCTCTGCAAGTGCTTGGTGAAGCCTTAGGCACGAATATCTGTGAGTACCTGGGCTGAGAACTCACCTGAAGCTGACATCATGTTTGCAAGGCTTTCGGTTTCGGTAAAAGAATGTGGCGCCATGCTTCTGTGATTCCCAACCCATTGTGCCCGTCATCAAATATACCGCAGAGGATAGGCAACCCAGGTCTGAACCCAGGAAACTAGGCTTTGCACAGCTCCCACCAGGGCCCTCTGTGGGTTTTGGGCACTTGATTTTCTGCAAAGCCCAGAATCCAGACATGCACTCGATGGCAACCCTGTGTTGCATACACCGGACGGCAGCATCCTCGTCATTCTCACGGCGACGAACAACAGCACAAGCATCGTCAAGCATCGTCATCACAATCAACATGAACTTGGTGTTGTCGTCGTCGTCGTTCTCCTCATCATCCTCCTGCTCCTGCTTCTCTTCCTTCTCCGCCCACTCGTCTTCCTCCTCCTCGTCCTCCTCCTCCTCCTCCTCCGATCATCATGAACATCATCACCATCTGCGCCATCCTCATGATCGACATCAACTGTAGAGATAAGGTCGTCCACACCGATCCCCATGGCCCGAATCCGAAGTCCTGGAGCCAGAAGCGTGGAATTAATATTATATATGACTGTGATTCTAATTTGTGTTAGTATTATTATTATTATTAGTAGTAGTAGTATTATTATTAACATTGGTATGTGTTACTATTGCTACTATAATTACTATGATTATCGGTATTATTAGTAGGATTACTACATGCTGCCAAACAGAACGGGAAACTGTTCCCTTGAGGAGTCAAGAGCGAACATGGTGGTGCTTTGTGTACCAGGCACTGCTGTACCATAATTACTCTGAGTGCTTCCTCCTACCTACAACCCGACTGTTTGGGTCAGGGTACTGGGCCCTACAAGGTAATTAATGCATATATATACATATATATATATATACATATATATATATATATGTGGCAATATAGTATTGCCATAGCATCCTAGTAAAATCTACTGTAGTGTCCTATAAATATCCCTTCCTTCAAGAGACAAGAGACCTCAAATGTACCCCTAAAGGAACCCTCAAAGGAACTCTTGAGCCCTGAACCCTAAACCCCTATAAACCTTAAACGCGTTTCTTAATGGCCAAGAAACTTGGAGATGGTTGACACCAGCAAGGGCGACGGCTCATCTTGCAGAAAGGTTCCGTAGTCCGTCTCTTCCAGCGCACTACCTGGCTTAGGGTTTCTTTTTGTTGTTATGCGCCGCTTTTCTTCCCTGCTTAGGGCTTCGGGTTCAGGGCTACACCCTACGGGTCCAAGCACTCCTCATTTCAGGACGTTGGGGCTTCTTTTGCATACCAAAAACAATAAGTAAGGACCTTTGGGCAAAGGGCTTAGGGTTAAGCATTACGAGTCTAGGGTCTAGGCTTCAGACTGGTTGGGGTTTTCACAGTTTTCCCACAGATTCAGGAGTGCAGCGCAATCTCACACACATCCGGGACGCCCGGCCCCTTTCAGAGGGTTGGTGTCATTAAACGATTTTGGAGGTTCTATTCCTAGGCCTTGGCAGGGTTTGGGGTCAGATCTAGAAAGCTTCAGGAGGTTTAGTCTTCACGCCGGGTGCAAGGCTGGGCAGCCTGCTCAAAAAAGCAACTCGCCAACACACCCCTCGGCACCTTTAAACGTCAAAAAAGCAACTCGCCGACACATCCCTCGGCACCTTTCAATCTTGGTTTCGGTGTTTAAGGCATGAGGACTTCAGGGTTTGTAGGGCTTAGGGCGCTCGGGTCAAGGTTAGGGTTCAGGGCTTCTGCGGCTTGGGATGCTTAGCACTTTAGGCCTGTGGGTATAAGGGCGCGATAGGTGACATCATTGCAGCCTGAATGAAGAACTGGTCTATTGCCCTAGCCCACACTGCTATGTTCTGGTTGAGTTCTACACTCCTAAGTCTGACACGTCACTCCAACCCTCAACCCGAACAAACGCTCAAATCTAAACCCTGAACTCCAGCCCCTAAATCAAATCACAAGCTAAGCATGCACAAACCCGCCCTAAACCCTGAACCCCTAGACTCTAAAACCCTGCAGCCCGAACTAAACCCTAAAGCCTAAACTCGGCACCGAAAGCACTGAAGGGCTGAGGGCTTCAAGGGCGTCCAGGGCAAGCTAAGGGCTTCTGAGAGTAAAAGGTCTCACAGGTCTAGGGCTTTAACGGTTTGGGGTGTTAGGGGGCTTCTGGGGGCCAAGCCAGGGCTCAAGGATTTTGAGGGCTTCTTCAGCTACTGTATACCGGTACTACTACTCAAGCACCGATCATGAAGGTGAGGCGCATCCCAAGACTAAGTGTTCAGAGCTTAGACGTTTACGGCTGAGGTGGGAACCAATGTACCCTGGGCATCAAAATAGCAGAAAAGCCTTGTATAGTATGGTCTTTGGGCCCAAAGGCCTTAATATACGAGTCCTTAGATTCCCAGGGGTACAGTGAAGTCCCAGTTAATGCAATCATTGGAACCCATACTCGCCTCCCTAAATTTTGAGGGGAGCGAGTAATGAAGAGTTTTCCGCCGTGATTTACCACTACCGCCACCACCACCACGACGACGACTACTACTACTACGACGACGACGACTACTACGACGACTACTACTGCTGCTGCTACTGCTGCTGCTGCTGCTACTACTACTACTACTACTACTACTACTACTACTGCTACTAGTACTACTACGACGACTACTACTACTACTACGACGACTACTACTGCTGCTGCTGCTACTGCTGCTGCTGCTGCTACTACTACTATTACTACTACTACTACTACTACTACTACTACTACTACTACTACTACTACTACTACTACTACTACTACTACTACTACTACTACTACTGCTACTAGTACTTCCCAGCTGCTATTACCAACACTGTTCCCCAGTCAGACTGTTCCGGAGCCTGCCCCCTGGCGCAACATGATTGACTCACTTTCTTTTTGCTTTCTGGGAGGAGGGATCTACCCCGTGATAAACTATAATTACATGACCAACCATCACCTGACAGCCTGAGTGAGGCCCTCCCAAGACTGAAGTATCCCTTCTCCTATCTGGGGAACCATACTTGGATGTTCATGGGTAGTTATAAATAGGGTGATAAGTACGATAACTACACTTATAACTCATATTAGGGGCCTTATAACCCTACTTAAACTACCCATGAACCTCCAAGTAAGGGTTTAGGGTTTGGGCTTGGTGCAAGCCGTGCAACGCATGTCTTCCAGCGTATCGCAAGCACCCAGCCGCCGGTAGTCCTCCGGGCCCAGGAATCCAGATCGCAGCCCACGGACCACGGACTCCGTGAAGCCATGACTCCTTAATTTCTTACATGGAGATTGCTTTATATACATGCGTGTACGTTGCTAAGATGTTGGCCAGGGCGAGACGCATTTGACGCATTGACAGGGTGCTTCCTGTTAATCATCAAACATACTGCAACAAGAAAATCAAACGCGGCTTTGGATTTGGGTCCCAAAGATCGTACGCCAGTGAGCAAGGCCATCGACAAGCAAACCGCAAAAACACAAAAGCAAAACACAGCCTGCGGAGGACAATACACTGGGAACTTTCTGCGTGAAGCCTGAACCTCAGATCCCTTCGGTGAGTCCCTAAACCCTAAACCCTAAACCCTAAACCTTAAACCCTAAACCCTAAACCCTAAACCCTAAACCTTAAATCGGAGCCATAAGGCGACAGGACCCTAAGGGTCCATGTACTCATATAGTATATACACTGGCCTTAAAGTATTCCCTAAAAAGGTACATTGGTCCCAAAGCATGTGCTATATGGGTACATGGACCCTTAGGGAGGATATGAACACAACCTAGCGGTTTAGGGTTTGGGGTCTAGGGATTAGGGTTCCCAGAGAGCCCAATACCCCTCAATTAAGCAATATAGCTTACATCAAAAAATATGAAGCCCTATATAATTCAAGCCATCTTCCGTAATTAAGGGGTATTGGGCTCTCTGGGTTCAGGGTTTAATTAGGGTTTTTAGGGTCCTAGCCTCAATGGGCTGACAGGTTGGGGCTTGAAAACCCTACACAAGCACCCTGCATTGGCTTTCTGATGGTGTGTGCTCTGTCTCCAGCTGTTGTATCATCCTTGCTAGGTTTGCATCTGAAATACCCACCCTCAAAAAAGTCTGAACTGGTGTTCCCTTCACGGGTTTTAAATCTGCACTGCTATGGTTCCATGAAGGAATAAAACTGAATCTGGGGTTCGTGTTGATTCGAGCGACCTGTTTAGGGCTCGCCAACAGAAAAAGGAAGGGAGGCTCCTAATTGAGGAGCGTCGCAATAGCATCCCTTTTGTAAGGGATACGGATTAGGGGTTGGAGTTTAGGTTTTAAGATTTACGGGCTCAAGCACAAATGCCCCGGCCAAAGATTCAAGCGCTAACTCCGAAGACTCTAAGATGCTTTCAAATGCAGTCAAGGCTCACATTGAACATTGCAAGCTCCATGGCTTTGGCAATGGAGGGGGAACCCACAAAACTTGAACTCAAAACTCAGCTGCGTCAATGATGGAATGCTTGTTAGAGTTTAGGGTTTGGGTTTCTACGGCGTTTGCATGAAGTTGAAGACTGGAGCAGGAAGCCCAATAATCTCCCTAAGCCCTCAACCCTAAACCCTAAACCCCTAAACCCTAAACCCCTAAACCCTAAACGTCTTACTTTCGAGAGTCTGGAGTTCCGAGGCTTCTTCTGGACATGCTCATGCCACTTCGCAGACACTTAGTGCTCATAGTTGAACTTAATTTATGGGTCGCAAACACCACGCAGGGCGACCGACCGCAGCATATACGGACGGGTGGATGGATGGATGGATGGATGGCTGGATGGATGGACGGACGGATGGATGGATGCATGAAAGTAGGTATGTCTGCGCGTACGCCGTATGTGGACCAAGTACGTAAACCTATACGCAAGTAAGTATGTAAGTGTGTATAAAAGGGAGTCTCCGGTACCCTAAATAGTATAGGATCCTTATTATGAGGACCCCAAAATAAGCTATCCCTAATTATGGGAAACTCCCATATAATGCAGGGGAGCACGCATGCATGTACGTGGGTGCTCTGAAGTAGGGTCCCTTTCAGGAAACCACAAAGCAGGCAGCACGCTGTTCACAAAGGACCCTGAAGCCGGAAAAGAATCGTATCTTCAAGAACTAGCTATGTGACTATGTGACTAAATCCCAATCCCGAAATCCTAAACCTTAAACTCTGGTTTAAGGTTTAAGGTTTTTGGGCATAGAGTTCTGGTTTAGGGCTCACCAGCCTCGTTGGAGCCAGTCAGATTGTGCGATTCTGCCGCCGGTACTTAAGACGACGGATTGCCCTAAGCCTACCTAGACCCCCGAAAGTAGCATCTATAAAAGGATAGAAGGCTAGTATTCTACATACTTTTGGGGACCAGGTAAGCCTTAAACCCGAAACCCGTAATATCGAATCTGAGCCTGTATCAGCGGCGCACAACTCGCGTTGCTGGCAGCCTGGAGAGTAGAAACCGACTAGTCGTTCCGTTTCCTCCGAACCCTATGGACCATGGTGACCTGAACCCCAAAAGTATGTAGAATCATAGCCATTTAGGTGTTGGGCCGTTGCTTCCTTTTGGGGCTTTAGGCAAGGCCCCCTGAACCCAGAACCCTAAACCCTCTGTTGACCCTAAGACCTGATCTCTGTGCGATCTGGGGTTCAACCGGAGTTTTCTCAGCCGACGCAACCGAAACTGCGCACCGACATGTTGAATGCAAAACGCACAGCCTAAGGCTTCTGAACACACACACACAGATATGTGTGCACATGAACATGTGTATATAATGTGTATATATATATATATATAGAGAGAGAGAGAGAGAGAGAGAGAGAGAGAAAGAAAGAGACAGAGAGCGGGAGAGAGAGACCGAGACTAAATTGTTAATACAACTAGTCATACTAGTCATCGTAACAGCGAAAATCATAAATGATACAAACAGGATGTTTAAACATTCAACAAGAAGACTGTTCATCATCACACACATACCACTACGAGTACGCAAATCACGACGACGACGACACGATTACGACCACGACGACGACGGACTACCTGTGCCTACTACTCATGCTATGTCTACGACTACGACCGCGACTACGACGACGACTACTTCGACTGTTACTTATCTTAATGACAATTAAGAAGACTACGAAGAATAGTTGTAACAACGATGATGTGCTTATATATATACATATGTACCGAGAGGGGGATATATATAGAGAGAGAGAGAGAGAGAGAGAGAGAGAGAGAGAGAGAGAGAGAGAGACAGAGAGGCAGACAAATTGGAATTGGCTTTCGGCTAGCATTGCATGTGGGCCAAAGACGACGCTGCTAATAAGTGTTCAGATTATTCAGCCTCTATGTTCTGCTTCCCAGTACCCAACCAGCGAGTTTTGCACAGGGTCCTCCATAGCTGCATACATCCCTAAACCCTAGACTCTGAACGCTGGACGCCCTAAGCCTCAGACCCGAATTCTGGAAGACTTTCCCAAATCCAGAACCCGATTTCCCCGGAAACATGAGACGTGAGATCCTGAAGCAACTAGCGTAATTGAGGACTCTGATATAGTATTGGTAAACATGTAGTCCCCTCTATATCACACTATCGTGATAAGCCTCTTGTACGGTGGTTTCGGGCTTAAGATCTGCGTTTAGAGTGTGTGGGCTTCGGGTTGAGAGTTTGGGACCTTATAACTTATAACCTTACGGAGCTCTGAACAGGCTTCGACATCCTACGCCTGTATGATGGGAGGCCAAAAGGGGGTTTAAGATTCTTGGGGGCAGGGATTCCTTAATATGAACCCTGTTATGGGAACCCTAATCCTTACTAAACCCCCATATGCTAAAACCCCTTTTGGCCTCCTATGACTGTAGCCCCGCATCCCATGCTTAGGAGCCTCAACTCCAAGCCCTAAGGGGCAAACCGACAGCAACCCCTACGCAGCAAACTGTCCTAAAATCAACCCTGCGTCCTTAAACCCAGGAGAGCCCCTAAATACAAGGCAGAGAAACCTGATATCAGCACCCACATGGGTGGTTGTCAAAATTATGGTTCTTTTTGGGGTACCCTAAATATTAGGTGCCGTCTTATAATAATGACCCACAAAGGGACCCCAATTTTGACAACCACCCGCATGAAACCGGCATAGAACCCTGAATCCCCTGCGGCAGCCCCCGAGCTCTCTCAAAACCGTAAGATCAATAATGACAAGCCCTACAATAGGGGCCAAAATAATTACCTAGAGGTTTCTTATAACCGTTGTATAATCAGCCTCAAAACCCTACTCTAACTAGTGAGGTCCCTAAATTACCCTCATGGCCCTCACCACCAGTAGCCCGAACACCGCTTCCGCAACCTTCACTCCCTTGACATCTTCATGTATGATCATTCAACCATGACAGAATGCCCCAGATCCCTGCAACAGTACATAAAGTCCAAGCCTAAACTCCAAACTTGCCAAACTCGACAAGCTGTATTCATCCTCTATGGAAACCTGACATGCGCAGCTCTGAAAGCACTGTTGAAACCTTATGAAATGCTTATGGAACGCAGAAATTGCCCCATGCGACAAACAAGCACCCCAAAACTCAGATACACCAAACCCTGACCTAGTGAACCCCCTAGCCCCGAAACTAGCGAAGCCCCATAGTAAGCGCTAAAACCCCTTTTGGAATCCTGATAAAATGACTATGCCCATGAACCTCCAGGTAACCCCGAAACCCTCAACCCTAAAGCCCTAAGCCCCTAAACCCTAAACTACCAACCCCTAAACCCCTAATCCTAAGCCCCTATGCCCCTAAACCCCTAGACCCTAAACTGTAAACTCCTAAGCCCCTTTGCCCCTAAACCCCTCATCCCCAGGAAGGCCTCACGGGTGGCGGAGGCTGGCTTTGCCAGCTGCCACTTGGGGTCCCAGATCGGCCTCCGGCTGCTTAATCCGAGCTCTCCTAGGAGGGGCTTTTAAAGCCTTTGAAAAATATTAGTAGGTAAGATCCTCTTAAGCCGACTAAGAGAAAATATAAAATGTCCCAAAGCCCTACCGAGTCTCGTTAAGGGCTCGGGTTTTAGGGTTTAGCGGTTTAGGGGTTAGGGTTCAAGGATTTAGGGCGTTGGTTTAGGGTTTAGGGTTCAGGGTTTAGGGGTTTAAGGGGCTGAATTTAAGTTACCATAGTAAGGACACGGATCCCACCTGCCTAGCTGTGTTTTTTAGGGTTTAGGGTTTAGGGTTTTTAGGGGTTTAGAGGTTTAGGGCTTAGGTTTTAGGGTTTATCTGTCTACTACAAAGTAGATTTTCTATCTACAAATATCTATCTGTCTCGCTAGCTGGCTAGCTACCTGCTCGGGAATCAGACCGATAGATGGATGGACAGTCAGATAGATAGATAGACAGATAGATGGGTGGACAGATAAGCGACAAATAGATAGGTAAATAAGATAGGTTGATTTTGATAGACAGATGGACAAACAGATAGATGGAGAGACAGATGGACACAGACCTAGACAAGTCACACATAGAGAAGTCAGGTACAGGGGGATAGATAGGTAGATCGATAGCTAGATAGATCGATACTTAGATAGATAGCTAAGTAGATAGACAGAGACACGGATGGACTGTGGATGGATGCATGTATGTATTAGTGGATGGCTGTATGGATGGATGGATAGGTAGATAGATAGACAGATTAAGCGGATATAGAGAGGTGGATGGATTCGCAGTTGGACGCATGTATGGATGAACAATGATGTTTGTACGGATAAAGATATACATGCAGAGGTATATATCTGCATGTAGACCACGATACCCTACACGTGCATCTGCGTATACATATACGTCTGAAGATAGAGATCTAGACATAGAAGCAGGCATACATCGTCTGTGTGTAGATCATAAGCTCCGGTTTAGGCCTTCGGGTCCAGGTTATTGGGGTATCGGATCGACCACAGCTGTAGTACCAAAGGCAGGTAAGTGGCACATGAACCGCCAAACCCCAAAGCCCATACCCTGAACCCCCAAAAACTAAACCCTAAACCCTTACCCTAAGGCTCTAATCACTCGTATATCAAGGCTTTTGGGCCCAAAGACCATACAACATAAGGCTTTTGGGCCATTTTCAGCCTTGGGTTCAACACCCCATGCCAAACTACTGTTGATGATATAAATCCTGCACTACCTTAAGGACCCTAGACTATGGGAATTATGGTATATTCCTTATTATGGGTGATGCAGGATTTATATCATCAACCGTATCAACCCTCATGCCGAACTATCAACCCTAAACCCTAAACCCTAAACCCTAAACCCTCAACCCTCGCATCTTCAGGGGCTCGGGGTTGTGGGGGTCGGTCGACCGGGTCTAGGGTGCTTGCAAGGTCTACGTCGTGTTTTCGGGTTTAGAGTACGGGAAAACCAGACAGTAGAAGCCACAAAGCT